ACAGTATTACTAATGTTATATTGTAGTAGACTGAAGACTCAGTGTGTCTCTAATCCTGTCAAGTGAAAAATAATTAAAATACTTCAGTTAGAAGAAATCCACAGCCTATGCTCTGCTTTTCTAAATTATGATTTAAGTATAAAAAACATGTTAAAACTAAGAACTTGAAGAACATACATACATACTATTAGGACACAAACCTATAAGAAAGCTGGTGTCCCCAAACTACTATATATAAAATTGTCTTTAAAGCAGGAAAGAAACATTACTTCAGATACAGGGAGACATTTCCCATAAAAGAGAAGGCATTCTACCAAAGAGATAGAGAGAATAAGCTCTTTCTATCTCCATTACATTGTAAGCATTATGGTTCCAAATCCAGGCTCAAACTCATGGGTAAGATATCACCCTGGACAGATGGAGGTCTGACTATAACATGAACCAAACTTGCAAAATATCACAATACGTGCACCTCCACACACTTTCTACAAATGATTATCCTGATGGACAAATTTTTATATTTATAAAGAAAATACTACAGGACTTACTGGTCATAACTAATATTCGTACATACATTCGTATTAATTCTGATTCTTGTTTATTTGGGGTTGGTTTTGTTTTGTTCATTTTTGTGAGACAGGTTCTCACTGTAGCCCCAGCTGGCCTGGAACTCACTTTGTAGACCTGTCTGGCAACAATCTCACAGAAATCTGTGTGCCTCTGGATCCTGAGTGCTTCCAGCATGCACCACCACACCAGGAAAATTCTTAAGGATTTTTGCCCACCTATTCAATTACCAATAAAATTAGTGAGCAGCCTTTAAAGAAATGTATTTCTTTTCTACTAAATGAACTTAGCCTCTGCTCCCGAGGAGTATTACTCAACCTAATACTGTTCCTTTCTCAGATATAAATTTGTGAAATTGGCACAGAGAAGAATCTGAAAGAGAATGGGTGATCATTTTACCACTATGTGTATAGAGTTGCCTAATTTAATGAGGAAAATAGACATTTAAATAATATTTTAGAACACATTAGAAGTTATGCACTGAACATTATAAATATTATTAGTAGAGATGTGGTGTTTCTTATACATATGATTTTGTAAAATGTGATGGTCTATTTCACACCACTCCATGAAAATTTATGCATATTCATAGGCAAAGAATAATTTACATACCTGCCAGGTAAATCAGAACTTATCACAGACTTTAAAATCATTACAGAATTATCAGGAATGGAACTCCTTCATAGAACTTTAGTGGAATAACTAAGCCTCAGTCTGTGACAGATACTGTACCTGTGCCTACAGAATGAGTCAATAACTTCTAAAATATTTTAAAAGCCCTCTCAATAAAATTGAATATAATTAGTTGTTCAAATGACAACATGGGAAATTATTACATATATTCAAAACATAATCCCCAATAACTTAACTTCATTAATTGTGAACAGTAAATTCCTAACAATGCACTTTTCAAATTACTCTTGCAAAACAGACTCCTACAATCATTTAAAAATGTCTTGTAGACATCCCACAGACACTTAGAAGTTTTCTACCCCAGGTTGAAGTGTGTAACAAGTATTTCTTCTGTGAATATATGTATAGGTGTGAGCAACCACCAGCCTAATACTTAGAGGAAAACTATTTCCAAGTTTTAATTAATGTTGATTTATGTGATGGTTTAAGGTAACAATGTGATATTTCTGCTTAATGTTATGTGGTTTTGTATGTTGTTTGGTGATTTTGTTTGTTTGCTTTTCCTGTTGTTGGTCATTTTTAAAATTATTTATTTTTTTATTTTATGTATATGAGTGTATTGCCTGCATGTATGTAAGTGCACCCATGTCATGCAGTGCCCACAGAGGTCAAAAGAGGGCATTGGATCCCCTGGAACTGGTGTTATGGATGGTTGTCAGCCACCATGTGGGTGCCAAATCGAACCCAGTCCTCTGAAAGAGCAGCCAGGACTCTTAACCACTGAGTCATCTCTCCAGACCCTGTTGTTCATAATATTTAAGTGGAAGATTTGGAATATCTCTTTCATTTGCTCGATATAACTGTCCTTTTATACTAAATGCCCAGATCTACTGTCTCAGTCATGATTAGAACTTGTTTTCCAGCTTGAGTTTGGAAGATGTATGTTTTTTATAAATCCCCATCTCATTTCCGAAGTTGACTAAAATTTAAATGGCTTTAATAAACAGCACTAGAAATGCCTATATTTGACTTAGGAATACCGCATGCTTTTCTACTTACCAATCACAGTAGAAAAATTATCCAGAAATAAATTTGAAAATATTTCTAATTTAGAAGTCATTTGGGGGAGCTGGAGAGATGGCTCAGCAGCTAAGGGCACTGACTGCTCTTGAAGAGTACAGGGGTTTGTTTCCCAGTGCCCACATGGCAGCTAACAACTGTCTATAGCTCCAGTTCCAGGGGATTTAATGCCTTCTTCTGACCTCTGTGGGCATTGCCTGACATGGGTGCACCTATCTATATGCAGGCAATACACTCATAAAAGTAATGGATAAAAATATTTTTAAAAAAGAAATAATTTGGGATAACTAACCAATAAATGCCAATGGTATGGATATATAAAAGAAAGATTTAATGACTCAGTGTTAGATTGTTTTGCTTTCAGCTTTTTTTTTCTGTTCTATTTT